ACTATAACAGAGTTGAAAGAGAAGCTAGATAATTTCATGGAGGTTAGGTCCATAAAAGGCTATTAGCCAGGGGGTAGGAATGGTGTCCCTGGCCTCTGTTTGTCAGAGGCTGGAGAGGGATGGCACAAGACAAATCGCTTGATCATTGTCTTCGGTCCACCCCCTCCAGGGCATCTGGCGCTGGCTACTGTTGGCAGACAGGCTACTGGGCTAGATAGACCTTTGGTCTGACCCAGTACGGCCGTTCTTATGTACTGGCAATAGACTCGTTTTGTCTGTAGAGCTGATCCAAGGTTCCCCAATGAAATAAGCAAGAAGAATGTTTTTGTCGGTATAGCGGCACCGACGCCAGAGCTTTTGCCGGTAGAAAAATAACCGGAACCACCGGGTAACATTATCCGAGTGGAGTATTCCAAGCTCTACGCCCCTTGCTTGCAGGGTGTTCCCACTGATTCCACAATGAGGCACCCCGGCAGGGCACTGTAAGGGGTGTGCGTTTTCCAGCAGAAGCCGAGGACGAGAGCAGCCAGGGCTCTCCGGGTAGCACTCCCCATCGTTCCCCCTCTCTCTGTGTCCTCTGCATCTACCCAGCTGGTGTCACTGGTTGGTGTCGCTGGTTGACCACATGTGGGCAGTTGCTCAGCTGGTGTAAATCAGAATCACGCTGCTGCTCTCAGAAGTGCTCTGCCGTACAGCTGTCGCGGTGTGTCATGGGCCCTTTCCAAAGGCTTTCAAGAAGGTCAAGCCCAAGAGAAAGTCAATCTAAACACAGCCGCATAGCACACTGGCTTCTCTTTGCCTGTGCTGCTGTTGACTCTGATCCTGCAACGGGACTGCAATAGTCTTCCCAACACTAGACCCCCCCCCCTTGCAGCATTGTTCTCACACCCACCCCAGAACAGTGTCTCTGATGTGGTCACCCATTTTGTGGGGCGTGGCACGTGGCCCTCCAGCCAGGTCCTGCTGGAACTACACCCTTTCTGGGTCATCCATGTCCTCCATCACGGCCTTCACCAGGATGAGGGCACAAGTAGCAAACCAAGAAGCCTGAGGTCTCACTTCAGTTCCAGCCTCTTCACTAAGTAACCGAAAACAGAACCACGGCTGCCAGCTCGTTCCTGGTGCTAGAGGTTGCAGATGGCAAGAGCTATTCCGATTCCCCTCTGTTCTCCACCCTATTGTCCGTGCACCAGGGCCTCTTACCCCAAGCCTATGGTGGATGCTAATCTTGGCTCCTTCAGCGTGTTCCTCTCTCCCTTTCCTTGTGGCTGGATCTTTTTCAGCCTCTCCCTCCACCTCCCCTCGGCCTGCTCCTCAGGAGGAGAGGACACAAAATGACCACTCGCCGCTGCTCTCAAACCCCTCCTTTATGGAACCAGACAGTGCCACCCCAGCTGGGTCTGACCCTGAATTGCACCCGGAGGGCACAGCTAGGCTGGCTCATTAGGAGGTCAGGTGCTAATTAACCCTTTGTGGGCCAGTGTGGTGATTTATACTTCAACCCACGGCAGTAGCACACAGAGGACTTGTTCGTTTAATAATTATTTTACAAGCTCTCTGCTTTGGAGTCCTGGAGGGGTGTAGAATCATAGGCCTGGAAGGGACCTCGAGAGGACATCTAGTCCAGTCCCCTGCCCTCGTGGCAGGACCCAGCGCCAGCTGGACTTTCCCTGACAAGGCAATTTATTCCAGTGTTTGACCACCCTGCCAGGTAGGAAGTTTTTCTAATGTCCGACCTAAACGTCCCTCGCTGCAGTTTAAGCCCGTTGCTTCTTGTCCTGTCCTCTGAGGCCAAGGAGAACAATATTTCTACCTCCTCATTGTAAAAAAACCTTTCATGTATTTCAAAACTGTTACCACTTCCCCAGCCGGTCTTCTCTTCTGCAGACTAAATAAACCCAGTCTTCAGTCTTGCCCCAGAGGGCATGTTTTCATCACTTCTAATTGCTTTGTTGCCCTTTCTCATTTCTCATCGTTTTGCTGAAACGTGGTGCCCAGCGCTGGACACAGTACTCCAGCCAAGGCTTAACCGGTGCAGAGCAGAGCGGAAGCATGACTTCTCGTGTCTTGCTTGCAGCACTCCTGTGAATACATCCCAGAGAAATGTTAGCCCTTTTTTTGGGCCACAGTATCATATTTAGCTTCTGGTTCACTGACTCCCCAGCTCCCTTCCCGCAGAGCTCCCTTGTGTGTGTGAAACTCATTGTTCCTTCCTCAGTGAAGCACTTCACATTTGCATCCTATTTACCTCAGACCATTTTTCCAATTTAATAACTGAAGAACAACAACTGGGGAACTTCTGGAGTCAGCTAGATGTTTTGTCTCGAGAGCGAAGTGGAGGAGACTTGTAGATGACCTATACTCCACTCGGAGTGCCAGGCTTTAAGAAGAAGATTTCTCCAATTTGTCCAGGTCATTTTGAATTATGACCCTTTACTCCCCAGCACTTGCAACCCTTCCCAGTGTGGTATAATGAGCAAGCGTCCTCTCTGTGCCATCAGCTAACTCACTGAAGAACAACCCCAGCCCCAGAATGGATCCTTGCTCAATTCCATTCGTTGAGCATAACTTGCAGCATAACTGTGAACTACTCTGTGAGAACAAAAGCTTCAGAGGGGGAAGCCACGTTAGTCTGTAACAGAAAACCTTAAACAACAAATAGTCTAGTAGCACCTTAAAGACTAACAAAATGTGTAGATATCAGAGGGGTAGCCGTGTTAGTCTGAATCTGCAAAAGCGGCGAGGAGTCCTGTGGCACCTTATAGACTAACTGAAGTGTAGGAGCATAAGCTTTCGTGGGCAAAGACCCACTTTGTCAGATGCATGCAGTGGAAATTTCCAGAGGCAGGTATAAATATGCAGGCCAGGATTAGGCTGGAGATGACGAGGTGGATCCAATCAAGGAGGATGAGGCCCACTTCTAGTAGCTGATCTGGAGGTGTGAATTCCAAGAGAGAAGCTGCTTTTGTAGTTAGCGAGCCATTCACAGTCTTTGTTTAATCCTGAGTTGATTGTGTCAAACTTAAAGATACACTGTAGCTCAGCAGTTTCTCTTTGAAGTCTGGTCCTGAAGTTTTTTTGCTGCAGGATGGCTACCTTTAATCTGCAATTGTGTGTCCAGGAAGATTGAAGTGTTCCCCTACAGGTTTTTGTATGTTGCCATTCCTAATATCTGATTTGATTCTTTTATGTAGGGACTGTCCAGTTTGGCCGATGTATATAGCAGTGGGGCACTGTTGGCACATGATGGCATATATTACATTAGTAGATGTGCAGGAGAATGAACCAGTGATGGTGTGGCTGATCTGGTTAGGTCCTGTGATGGTGTTGCTGGTGTATATATGTGGGCAGAGTTGGCACCAAAATGTGTAGATGGGATCATGAGCTTTCAGGGGCACAGCCCACTTCAGATGACTGGAGTATTAGAAGTCTAGATGCAAGAACAAATAAGGGAAGGGGGAGAGGGGGGAAAAAGAGACAGAGAGTAGATGGTTCAAGTAGTTACAGGAGGCTAATAAAAACAATTAGCACCTCCATTGGTTGGTTTGTAAGTCATTAGGATGCGAGTCAGCAGCGGATGTCCCTGTTCATACCATTTGCATAAGAATTAAACTTGTAAATGAAGTTGTTCCAATCCTTCTCTGTGTATTTGGCTTGTGGAATTGGCCTGAAACGACAAGGTGACCTGGCAATCCATTAATGAGTGCCCAGGCAGATTAACTCTGAGAACAGTTACCCAGCCAGTTATGCACCCACCTTATAATAGCCCCATCTAATTTCCCTAGTTGGTTTATGAGAAGGTCATGTGAGACTGTGTCAAAGTTAAGATATACCCTGGGCTATGGCTTCCCCCTTAGCCACAAACCTTATCAGACCAAAGAAAGCTCTCTGGCTGGTTTAACATGATTTTGTTGACAAATCCATGCTGATTGTTACTTATCACCTTACTAGCTTCCAGATGTTTGTAAGCTGATGGCTTAATTATTTGCTCCATTATGTTTCCTGGGACAGAAGTTAAGCTGGCAGGTCTGTCATTCCCTGGGTTGTCCTTATTCCCCTTTTTATAGATCAGGAAGGGGCAAATGCAGTGCCAGTATCTGCAATCTCTCCCTGTATCTCATGACTATTGAAAGATAATCGCTAATGGCTCCGCTCTCCCCTCAATCCGTGCCTGGAGTGGTCTAGGGAGTGCAGTGTATCTGAATGCCAATCCAGGCTCCATAGGGAGCAGAATCGCTCATTTCACAAACTATATGAAATTGTTCCAGTTATGCCGAGACTTTTACTTGGCTTTTAAGAAACTGTCGTTCCCTCTAGTGGCAGGGGTCAAGAGAATAGTTGTATCCAGCCTTGCTCATACGGACCGTCCACGCTGTAAGTCCAAGATACGTTCCAAACCACTGGACTTCTAGCAAAACAAGTGAAAGTAGGGAATTTTTTTTCCCGGGGCTGACTTCCATTTGCGCAAATTGTCGCGTGTTTTGTTTTGTTGCGCAACTTATGAGCGGGGAATGGGAGGACTTAGAACACATCAGTCCCTGCAAGTGCCAACGACTTTAGTGTCGAATGGATGTACGCCGGGGCGGCTCATGGTGGGGACGCCCTGTAGAGCTACTGTGCTTTCTGCTCTCGCTGGCAATCACAAGGACGCAATTCCTGGGATTCGCAGGTGTCCCGCTCCGAGCACGGTCGCTCCACTCAGCCCAGGCCGGCGCGGAAAGAATGGCTGCCTGTTGGTCTGCTCCAACCAACGACTTTAGTGTCGAATGGATGTACGCCGGGGCGGCTCATGGTGGGGACGCCCTGTAGAGCTACTGTGCTTTCTGCTCTCGCTGGCAATCACAAGGACGCAATTCCTGGGATTCGCAGGTGTCCCGCTCCGAGCACGGTCGCTCCACTCAGCCCAGGCCGGCGCGGAAAGAATGGCTGCCTGTTGGTCTGCTCCAA